CGGAGAGGTTAGAGTCATGAACCTCCTGCGTCAGCAACTCTCTTAAGGGTCGGTATGACGGGACCCAAACCCTGTTCGTACCGGCTTTTAGGTAATAAATCCCATGCTGCGTCGTGGCCTGGTGGTGTAGGTTTCGCTTAAAAAAGCGGTCGGTCTTGTAGCTGTGGGTGAAGAGTCCCGATAATAGTGGGTTGGAATGGGCGATAAGTATTGCTACTGTTTGCATTGATGGGCGGGTCAGGGCGTCGGCGATGTTGTTGGCGCCTTTCTTGTACGTGATGGTGTAGTTGAAGTTGGATTCCAGGTAGTCCAGCCACCTGATTTGTCGCGGGTTGAGCGTTGGTTGGCTTCGCATGTACTGTAGTGATTTGTGGTCTGTCCGTATCGTCACGTCGGCTCCCGTTAAGTAGCAGCGCCAGGTTCGAAACGCGTGGACGACGGCCAGCATCTCCTTGTCGTGGACCGGGTAGTTGCGTTCGGGTGGCTGCATTTTGCGTGACTCGTATGCAATGGGTTGCAGCCCTTTGCCGAAATCCTGTAGAAGGACGGCGCCGATGGCGAAATCGCTGGCGTCCGTGATGACTTCGAACGGTCGAGATGGGTCGGCGAGGCAGAGGACCGGGGGTGAACTCAAAATGTTTTTGAGTTTGTCGAAGGCCGACTGTTCTCTCTCCCCCCACTGAAAAATGGTTGTCTTGTGCAGGAGGTCGGTTAGAGGTGTGGTCACCCCCGCCATATTGGGTACAAAGCGGCGGACGTAATTCACGAATCCCAAGAAACTCTGCAACTCGGTGATGTTGGTCGGTGGTTCCCACTCAGCGATTGCGTCCACCTTGCGAGGGTCAATTTTAATGCCTTCTCCCGAAACCACGTGCCCCAGGAACTCCAGCTCCGGCTTTAGGAACTCGCACTTAGAGCCCTTCGTATTGAGCCGATTTTGCTGTAAGCGCCGGAACACCTCCTCCAGATCCTCAAAATGTTGTTCTTGCGTCTTGCTGTACACCAGGATGTCGTCGAGGTAGACGATAACTTTTTTATCCAGCATGTCCCGGAACACCCCGTTCATGGTCAGCTGGAACGTCGAGGGCGCGTTTGTCAATCCGAATGGCATCACGGTGTACTCGTAACTGCCGTAGCGTGTGCGAAAAGCGGTCTTCGGGCAGTCGTCGGCGAACACGCGAATTTGGTGGTAGCCTCCTCGCATGTCGATTTTCGAGAAATAGCGAGACCCGCGAAGTTGGTCCAGCAGGTCGTCCGCTCGCGGGATCGGGTAACGCGACTTTATCATGACCCGATTCAGCGCTCGGTAATCAATGCACATGCGTAGGCCTCCGTCCTTTTTCGTCGTGAACAGTATCGGTGCTGCGAATGGTGAGGTGCTTGGCCGGATAAATCCCTTGGCGAGGAGGTAATCCAGCTGGCTCCTCAACTCGTCGAGCTCCGGTTGGCTGAGCCGCCACTGCGTTCGAACAGTAGGTTGCGCGCCGGGTTCCAGCTGTATCTAGTGATATTCTGGACGCTGAGGTGGCAGGCCATCGGGTAGGTCATCTGCGAAAATATCGGGATACTTCCGAATGATGCCTGCCAGTTTCGCAGGAACTGCCTCGCAGAGCGTGTCGATGTCGGCGATTTTTTCGGTTGCTGCTACCTCGTACAAGTGTACAGCGTAGCCTCTTGCCCCCTTGCTGATCGCTCGCCGCATGGTGACGGCGTTGACACGTGTCGTCACATGCTCCGGGTCCGTCCATTTCGGAAGCATTGTCTGCCCTGTATTTCCTCGCACAGTGCATGTCCCCGTTGTCTAGTCGATCGCCGGATTGTATCGTTGCAGCCAGTCTCGCCCCAGCAGCACATCGCATCCGTCCAATGTTGTCGCCAGCATCTTCATACCGAACCCGAAATTGTCGCCACACTTCATCCAAACTTGTCGCGCTTCATCTCGAATCGCCAGCGGTGTCCCATCCACGAGCCTTGCGTCAATCTCCGGCAGACACCTGTTCAGTTTCACCCCAATTTTTTTGGCTGTTGACAGGTTGATGAGGCTGTGACTAGCCCCACCGTCAACAAATATTTTTATTCTATGACCGTTAACCCTCCCTACTGCCAGCACAGGGTGGTCCACGTGTTCACCCACGTTATCCGTCTGATTGCGGTCGATTGCTCGGATCGGTACCACAACTCGGTGTGGATGGTGATTGTCGGGCGACAGGGTCTCGTCAGCAGGGCGCCCGTCTGCTACTGACTCGCATCTTTTCCCGACCCTTCTCCGTCATTCCTTTTCCCCTGCTTCAGCTTCGGGCAGTCTCTTTTCAGGTGGCCCAGCTGGTTGCATGCAAAGCACGGCCCGATGGGTCGGCTTGGCGCATCCACGTCGTTGATCGTGGGCTGCTGCGTCGATCCACGAAATCGAGGGCCCTCCCGGGAGCTCGATCTCGCCCACTGCATCAGTGCATCCGTTGACTCAGCTTCCCGCACGGCGTTGTTAAAGCTGCATGGCCGCGTTCGTCGGACCTCATATTGAATTTCGTATTTCAGGCTCGCCACGTAGCGATCCATCCGCTTCGCGTCACTCATATCGTCCACCTGGTCAGCCAAGTTGCAGAACGTGCTGGTGTAGTCTTGGACCGAAGTCAGCTGCTTCCAGGCACGCAGCTTCATGCGGGCAGAGTCCGAGGCGGAGATGTGCTCGAACCTGGCTCGCAAGGCGGCGCCCCACTCCTTTCATGTGCGTATCGTGGCGGTTCCGAAAATTGAAGCTGCTCGTTGCGTGACAGGTGTCGAGGTCCCGTCGTTCGCACGTGTTGTCCCTGCCGAAGTCCCCTCGGTTTGAAGCGTGCGTCGCCACCATTCCAACGCAGGTCCTCGTAACAGTGAAACTGCAAAATTAATGCGGGTGGCATCATCGTTAATCATCGCAGCATTAAAGAACAACTCAGCGCCAAACAACCATGCAGAAACAGTGACAAACTTGTCACTCGGGTTGAATGGTGGTGGGTTCGTCGGTTTGATCTTGACAGTTGTTGAGGCTGTCACAGTCGCTGGAATTGTTGCTGCTGCTGATGCCGCTGGTGCACGTGTTGGCACTGCTTGCGACTGTTGCTGTTGTGCCCGCCCTTCTTCTGCAGCATCCATGGAGCCTTCGAGCTCACTGAAAACGGCCTCGTTCGGCGTGGAGCTACTACTTGCTTCATCCACGATGGGCGACTCCTGGCGCGCTTCACCACGCGCCTAGTGTAGTTCGGCGTTTTCCTTCCTCAGGCGTTCGACCTCCACAGACATCGTGTGCATGTTGGCCTGCATCGCCCGAAACTGTTGCATAAATTCGTTCAACTCCGCCTGGTCCATATTTCGCAGGCTTCGTCGGACGGGCAGGGGGTGGTTAGCGATTTTTATGACGTTTAGTGAAGGCGCAAACGCTATCGTAGTCGGAGTGAAATAATCGTATCTATTTCACAGGCCGACCGCTTTGCAGCCCACTAAGTCTATCGCTCTCCTTACACAAACTACCCCAGAAACGCGAGGGTAACCTAGGAAAGTAGCTCTGATACCAAGTGTTATGAGTTGTAATGAAGAAGAGTGCGCAGGATTCAATAACGCGGAAGTGATAACAACTACTGACTGAACAATGAAGTCTAGCACTAATATAGCGAGAACTAGCTAGGCCGAGGTTGCGGGACCGCGAAAGGTCAGGAGCAGGTTCGGGGTTGGGAAAACCCGAAGGCGACGCGTTGGTGGTTCGGCGGGCGAGGTCAGCGGACCGAGCCTGGAACTCCGAAAGTTGGGGCTGTACGCGTACAGTGTGACTCAGTAAGGAATTGGTAAAATTCCTTACACAAATCCCTACATTATCATACTCGTAGCACAACACATCATACATAATCAGTGCACTATCTGGTCAAGCACCTGTTGCTGACTATTCAGAACACCCTACACAATTTTCTTGTTACCCCATCCCTCCTGCCCCTTTCTCCTTTAAAGAAAACATCAATAGAATAGATTTGATGGATTGGATTGGCCACAAAGATGCCTGGAATTATCGACTCATCGCACTCAACTACTGTCAACTACTCTTCATCTAGTTGCATGTGAAAATGGTGCTACCGACACAGTCACTCCTCCATGCGCCTGACACTGCTCGTATGCATGCACCCCTCCACACCACACCACCTTGCCGCCTCTCCCACAGGCATCTGTGTTCCCCCTCAGCTGCTAGCCAGGCAAGACAAAACACCTCTGCTGCCAGCGCACTGCCAGAGCGCGCCTGCATGGAGAGTGCATGAGCATGTACTGTACTTTTCTCTACACGACACCATTTCATGCTCCGCAGCATGGGCAACCAATGCACCGCCGGTACACTGCACACTGCCCCGTGTGTGTGTGTGTGTCTGACCTTCAGAAGCTGCTGCACTGCTCGGGACGTAACGTAATCCACACCTGCATGCGGCCTGGCCATGCTGTGTCATCTCGACAGCAGCAGCCAAGGCAAGGGCAAGAGTGCAACAATGGGTGCAGCAACGAGTGCACATGGAGCAGTCACAGATTGCAGCGCTCTGCCCTCACTGCACCGCACATCACCGTGCCTTGTATGCCCCAAGCCTGCCTGCACCGCACACCTCTCCAGACTCCAACCATACAACCTCCGCCCCACACCTTGCCAGCCACACAACCTCTGGCTGGCTCACACCTTGTGGAAGGCGTGTGATAGGCCCCCCTGTGCAACTTTTGAGGCGCCTCAGAAGATAGGTTCCCCTGTGCAGCGCCCCAGCTACAGAGCTCAGAGGAGTTTGAATCGCCATTCAGCATTCTCAATAGCCGTACCTTGCGGCAGGCATGATGGGTTTCAGGTCTGGGCAGGTGTGACCACCCAGCAGAAGCAGGGCCCAGTAGTGCAGCTGTAGGCTGGGAGCACGCAGGCACAGGAAGTGGTGCAAGTGTGTTTGGTGCAACCCGTGCGGTGGGTGACGCAGAGCCGGCTGCAGCACAGCACGGAGTGCAGCACGTTACAGCACGGTGTAGTGCGGCGCAGCCCAGTGCAGGGTGGTGCAGAGCGGAGCTTGGTGGAGAGGAGAACAACCACCAGGAGGAAGGAAGGGATGGGGGAGGCCGGAGGGTCTCATGGAGCAGAGGAAGAAGCGAGAGAGGAGGGCAGGGCAGATTGGAGCAGGACCCAGGGATGGGTGGCAGCTTGAGCGAGAGGGATTCGCTGCAAGGGGTCTGCATGGATGGTGCAAAAAAGGGGGAGAGGGGGAGGGGTTGGGGAGGGTGTGAGGTGGGGATGAAATTTCGTGGCTGGTGTGGCTGGGATATCGGTGGCGGGGAGGGAGAGTGGCAGGGGCATGCATGGGATCACTAGCCAGGCATGGAGGTGCGGTGAGGGCAGTCATAACCTTTATTTTTTAAGAAACGGAGAGTAGATAGTGGGTAACGCATGGTGATGGACGGTGATGGTGTTGCTGTGATGTGTGGAGGCATGGTAGGTAGGCATGCCTTTGTGCAGAAGCCTGGTGAGGAGATCTGCCAACGAGGGCGACATGTCTGGTGGGAGAATCAACGGCTCAGATTGGATCTGCAACACAATGGAGGACAAACAGAAGAGGATGGTGTTAAAAGTGAGCTTAGAATCGATACATTAGTATTGAGCTTGAAGCTCCTTAAGTACATCCGAAATGAGCAAGGTATGGATGGGAAGGAAAATGGGGGCAATCCCTAGGGATTGGGGGTAATCCCAAGGCAATCTCCAATTGGTGGGTTGGAGATTGCTTGGTGATCACATTTGGGTTTGGTTGGGATGTGGGTGTACACCCAACCAACCAAACACAAAGTGCAACTACACTAAGCTAGGATATAAAAAGTACAAGTACAAAATGTGAGATTGAGAGCTAACACTAACAGATGGATGGCGGCAATAAGAAAGCGAGAGCATGAGAAGAACGAAGTAAAACGCAGGGAGGATGGATGCACATGCACTCACACCACACACCATGGCAAAGGGAGTGCAGCCCAACATGAGATGAGATGGCGCCTCAATAACCGTGTCTCATTTCACACAGCACAGCACAGCACAGCACAGCACAGCACAGCACAGCACAGCACAGCACAGCACAGCACAGCACAGCACAGCACAGCACAGCACAGCACAGCACAGCACAGCACAGCACAGCACAGCACAGCCCAGAACAGCACACCATAGCCCAGCACAGCACAGCACAGCCCAGCAGAGCATACCTTGTCATAGGTATCCATGAGTGAGGGCCCCAGGAAGGGGTGGCGCCCGCACACCATGGCATAGAGCGTGCACCCCAGCGCCCATGTGTCCGCTGCCACGCCCTTGAACGGCTCTCCTGCACGTAATGGGGTCGGTGAGGGCAGTGGGGGAAGGGAGAGCACTTATGGCAATTCTCAAGAAGAGCACACCATGGCATAGAGCGTGCACCCCAGCGCCCATGTGTCCGCTGCCATGCCCTTGAATGGCTCTCCTGCACACAGTGAGGGCCGAGGGGGGGGCAAGGGGGCAGTGGGGGCAGTGGGGGCAGGGGGGGCAGCAGGGCCACTTTTGAGAATTCTCGAGAGAACACCATGGCATAGAGCGTGCACCTCAACGCCCATGTGTCCGCTGGCACGCCCTTGAACGGCTCTCCTGCACGCCCATAACCGTGGCAGGGGGGGCAGGGGGAGGAATGGGGGGGTGGGGGGGGCAAGCCATGAGGCAGAATCCAATCCAGCACGACACGAAACACCAGTGCGTGCAGAAATGCAGGTGCATCATGAAATGCAAGAGCATCATGAAATGCAAGAGCATCATGAAATGCAGGAGCATCATGAAATGCAGGAGCATCATGAAATGCTTGCTTCCTCACCATCACTCGCTCTCCCTCACACTTCCTCTCTCTTCCTCTCACTTCCTCTCTCTCTCTCTCTCTCCTCTCCCCCGTCCCCTTTCAGTGCGACAACAGCCCTGCCGGCCTGGCCAGCTCATGCCTTCAGGAAAGCTGACTCACAGCTCACCCCACTACTCCCTTCCTTTCCCAGCACAACCACACCCATCCCCCCCTCCCTTCACCGCCCCACCCACCCCACAACTCCCTTCCTCTCCCAGCACAACCCCACCCATCCCACGCATCCCCCCCCACCTTTCCCCCCTGCCCCCCTCCCTTCACCGCCCCACCTACCCCACCCGTCCCCCTTCCCCCGTCCCACTCAGCCCAACTGCCCCAACACCCCTGCGCACCAGTGCAGCACTCAGGCGCAGTGAAGGCGGGGGTGCCAGGACTCCTGCGCTGCAGGTCATCGGGGGACTGGGAATGGGGTCAAGAGGGGTCGAGAGGGGGCGAGAGGGACTTTTGAGTCGACTCAGAAGGCAGGGGTGTCAGGACTCCTGCGCTGCAGGTCATCGGGGGACTGGGGATGGGGCAGAGAGGGACCGAGAGGGGTAAATAGGGTGAGGGGTGAGAAGGAGCAGGAGTACAACCGCAGGCAGGCATAGGGCAGAAAAGCAGAGGAAGAGCGACAGGGGTTCAAGGTGGGGAGAGAGGGGGAAGGGTGAGACAGGGGTGAGAAGGAGTAGGAGTACAACCGCAGGCAGGCATAGGGCAGAAAATCAGAGGAAGAGCGACAGGGGTTCAAGGTGGGGAGAGAGGGGGAAGGGTGGGGGGTGGAATAGGCGGCAAGCTGGCTGGAGAGGCGGAGGGAGACAAGCGAGTGCCGGTTTGCCATCAAAGGCAGCAGCACAGCAGAGGCAGCACGACAGCAGAGGCAGCACGACAGCAGAGGCAGCGCGACAGCAGAGGCAGCGCGACAGCAGAGGCAGCGCGACAGCAGAGCGTGCAGGCAGAGCGTGCAGGCAGAGCGTGCAGGCAGAGCGTGCAGGCAGAGCGTGCAGGCAGAGCGTGCAGGCAGAGCGTGCAGGCAGAGCGTGCAGGCAGAGCGTGCAGGCAGAGCGTGCAGGCGCACTGTGAGGAGCATTTGAGGAAGGGCAGAGGGTGTAGTAGTAGAAGAAGACCTGCATTGACTTGACTCACCGCGACCTCCTGGCAGACGCCAAAGTCGGCGAGCTTGGCAGTGCCGTGCGCAGTGCAGAGAATGTTGGCTGGCTTGATGTCGTTGTGTACCACTCCCTGGTGTGGACACACACATGTGCAGGGCAGGCACACAGGCACACAGGCACAAGACGAACATGCAGTTACAGCGACAGACACAGACACACACGCACACACAGAGAATGTTGGCTGGCTTGATGTCGTTGTGTACCACTCCTTGGCGTGGACACACACATGTGCAGGGCAGGCAGACAGGCATGCACGCACGCATGCACGCATGCACGCACGCACACATGCACGCACGCACGAACCCCCCACCCTCCCCCCTTCCCCCACTCTCGTCTCCCCCCGCCCCGCACAGACACACACATGGAGTAGGCACACAGACGAGCCTTGAGAAGAAATGCAAAGCCCCCGGGAAAGTGTCTTTCTGCCAGATTCATCCCCACGCTCTACCATATCATCCACCCAGACTTAAAGCCACCATCCTTTCAGCCACACCATTCTTATAGCACACCTGGCTAGCTGTGCACGTAGAGCAGAGCAGATCGACTTTTGAGACGTCTCAAAAGTGATTCTTATAGCAAGCACACCTGGCCTGGCCGTGCACGTAGAGAGCAGAGCAGAGCGGAACTGACATCACGAAACACCCTCCGCGCCCTCTGACTTTTGAGCCGACACGACACAAAAGCTTCCTCCCCCTCGTACTCCACCACCGCCTCGGCTCCTCCTCTCGCCCTGCAATCATGCACCAATCTTGCAACCCACACCCACCTGGCCATGGACATAGAGCAGAGCAGCACTGACATCACGAAACACCCTCCGGAGTCCGCGCCCTCTCCTCGCCCCCCTCTTAATCACCACGAACTCCTCCTCCTCCTCTCGCTTTGCAACCAAACAATCTCTCTCAACCCACTCCATCCTGCAACCCACGCCCACCTGGCTGTGCACGTAGAGCAGAGCGACTTTTGAGACGTCTCAAAAGTACTTGTTATAGCCCACCTGGCTGTGCACGTAGAGCAGGGCAGCACTGACGTCCCGAAACACCCTCCGCGCCATCTCCTCGCCCACACCCCCCACTGGCGGTTCATCCTCTGGGAAGACAGGCCCGCCATCCAGGTACTCAAACACTGGTGGGGGGAGGAGGGTGGTGGGTGAGGGTGGGTGAGGGTGGGTGAGGGTGGGTGAGGGTGGGTGAGTTTAGAGGCGTCTCAAACCCCCCACTGGTGGTGCATCCTCTGGGAAGACAGGCCCGCCATCCAGGTACTCAAACACTGGTGGGAAGAGGAGGGTGGTGGGTGAGGGTGGGTGAGGGTGGGTGAGGGTGGGTGAGTTTAGAGGCGTCTCAAACCCCCCACTGGTGGTGCATCCTCTGGGAAGACGGGCCCGCCATCCAGGTACTCAAACACTGGTTGGAGCGGGGGGTGGAGGGTGTACGTGGGTGGGTGAGGGTGGGTGAGGGTGAGCAAGTTTTGGGGCGTTTCAAGCTCCCCACTGGCGGCGGTGCATCCTCTGGGAAGACAGGCCCTCCTTCCAGGTACTCAAACACTGGTGCATGGGGCGGGGGGAGGGGGGGGGAGAGGGGGAAAGTGGGGGGGAAGGGTGGGTGAGAGGGTGGTGATTTATGAAATGAGAACAAAACCCCGCGGGTGGGGGGCGTCGTTGGGGAAGACAGGCCCGCCGTCCAGGTACTCAAAACACTGGTTGGGGGGGGAGGAGGAGGAGGAGGAGGAGGAGGGAGGGGGGGAGAAGAGTGGGAGAGGGTGGTTAGTTTTCAGGCGCCTAGAAACCCCACAGGTGGGTCGTCAACAGAGAAGTACTCTCAACCAATGTGGGAGGAGGGGTGGAGAGGGGTGGTGAGGGGCCGGTACGGGGATGGGTGAGGGTGGGGAGACCATTTTGTGGGGGATTTTGTTGGGAAAGGGGAAGAGGAGGCGGGCGGGTTAGGTGCTCATCATCAACCCTCTCCTTTCCTTTTTTATACCCGAAAACCATTCTATTCCCCTGCCCGAAATCTCTTCTTCCCTGCCCCCCCCTCATCTTTTCTAAGCGGATTGCAGGTTCCGAACAGAAAGCGTATGACGAGAGATAGATACACACACACGTACTTTCCACGGCTTGAGTGGGCAGGGTGCGCAGTGCGTGAGGTGTGATGTGAGGGAGGGTGGGCATTGAGTCTTGAGTGAGAGAGGGAGGGTGGGCAGTGAGCGAGCAGGGAGGGGAAGGTGGGCGTACCGAGGTAGAGTTTATCGGAGGAAGGGTCGTCAATCACTTCCCTGAGCTGCACCACATGCGGGTGCTGCAGGCGCTGCAACACACGGATCTGACGGCTCAGGCCAGGACGTGGGACATAGGGGGGCACAGGGGTGCGGGGAACAGGGAATGGAAGACAGGGCACGGGGCACGGGGCACGGGGCACGGGGCATGGGGCACAGGGCACGGGGCACAGGGCACAGGGCACAGGGCACAGGGCACAGGGCACGGGGCACGGGGCACATTGAGGGTACAAGGCCTTGTGAAGAATGCTGGCAGAGTGCAGGCAAAGCAGTGCCAGGCCGGGGCAGCTTGCTGATGCACACACCTATTCGTTCCGTGCACGAAAAAGGAAGTGGGAGCGACAAGGGCGTGCAGTGACGGCAGCGAGGCCCCCCCATCTCTCCCCACCCCACCTCACACTCCGCCCTCCCCCACACACACCTCACCACGCCCCACCGCGCCCCACACCTCACCACGCCCCACCTCGCGCTGCACATCCATGAGGGCAGTTCCGCCTGGCGCCACCCGCACCCTCGCAAGGCGGGACTTGCAGCACACCTGCACCGCACACACCCGGGAAACCAGAACGGGCGGAGAAAACGTATGCATGGACGGGACGAGAAACAGGAGGTGTGATGCAGTGCAGTGCGGTGCGGTACAGGTGCTTGCAGTGCACCGCACAGCACCGCACCGCACTGCACTGCACTGCAGCGCTGTGCAATGCTGTCCAGTGCAGATTGGAAGGTGATGCGATGATAGCATGGGCACGCACGAACGCATCGGACAAGGGGACTGTAAGTCGTCTTGAAGTTAAGAGATGCTTTCTGAGTGTGATACAAAGGAGCACATCTCCACATATTCCTCACTCCAAACCACCACCACGTTACCCCCCTTCCCTCCGCCTTGCACTATTTCCCCCTCTTCCCCCACCATTCCTCCCCCTGCCTACTTCCGCCCCTCCTTTCCCCCCGCACGCACCTTGAGCGCGCACATGAGGCCTGTGGGCGCATGGCGGTACAGAACCTGGGGGCAATGACAGGCATGCGCGGCGTGGGGAGATGGGGGTGTGGGGGAGAGAACGGGGGGAAGGGAGGAGAGGAGGGAGAGAGGGAAAGAATCAGGGATGAGCAACAATAGACGCGGGCGAATGCAAGGAGGCGAGAAGGGAGCATGAAGGGGAAGCACGCGTGCAGGGATGGTGTCTGTGAGAGAGCACTGACCACTTTAGCGTAGGAGCCTCTGCCAATCACACGCTCTCTCACGTACTCGTTCACCGTCTTGCGCCCCTCCGCATCCTGCTCACAGCACCGCACAGCACAGCGCAGGACCGCACAGCACGGAACGGCGAGTTATGAGATGCAAGGAGCAGCTAGAGTGCCCCCCATAATCCCCCCTTTTCGAGAAATGCGCGGCGTTCCTCTTCCCCCGCGCTCAATCTCACCCGCCTTGCGCCCCTCCCCGCCACGCGACCTTTTCCGCCACGCGCCCCTCGTCCTACCTGCGACACCGTCAGTCGTCGCGTCGTGCGACATCTCGCTCCACTCGCCTCCTCGTCGACGCTCGTCGTCTTTCGCTCGCCGTCGCCGCCGCCGCTGGAACCGCCATCAGCGTTGACGACACTATCGCGCGCTAAAGGCGACGAGACCGTCGCTGCGAGTTCTCCGCTGCCCGCCGCGCGTCGCGGCGCCGCCTCTGGCGGCGCGTCGTCTCCAGCAAGGGTTAAAAGCGACGGCTCGCTGCGGCTCACGCGCATGCCCGCGGCGGTGGCGGAAGCCGCCTGGATGGCTGCGCGGGGGCGATAGCTGCGGTCGCGGATCCCGTTAATGGTGGCGACGGGGAGGTGGAAGGAGAGGCGGGCGACGACGAGCAGTAGCGCGCGCAGGCGACGAAAGAACGGCCAGCGGGGCGCGGTTGAGCGAGACGCGCGCGCGTCCATGTTGCGTTGAGTTGAGAGGTGGGTGGCCGTTAGGCGCAAAGATGGGAGCTTGCTGGCACTCATGCAGGCAGGCTGGTTTCAGGTGTTTTCGAGGAGGGTGTATTTGTCGGGAAAATATGCCATTTGTAACCATCATGGGACTCGATAACATTTTTGGTAAACAAACAAAGGGTACGGTCACTACAAAGGGTGTTTTCACGCGACTGATAAAACGTTTCACGTAATCAGTCACTATCAACTGGTAAAAAAAAAACGCGAATGGTCATAGATGAAACTCCCGCCAAAACAAAATGAAACCCAAAAAGAACCTGGATGCATTTCCGGATGAATCAACCCTAAACACGTAACTCGCCAGGTGTTTAGGGTTGATCCGTTCCCAAACCGCATCCGATTCCGATTGGGTTTTAGTTTTTTCACAAGGTAGCAGATTGGTTGGGCGCGAGCGGGAATTTTGTTGAGTTTCAAGTGTTTTTGGCGGGAGTTACATGTGTGATCATTCGCGTGATTTTTTACCTGTTGTTAGTGACTGAATCCGTGACCCCACTTACCAAACCCGTCAGAAAACCCGGTACAGTGACCGTACGCGTTTTTTTTTTTTTTACCATTCACGTTATCGAGTCCCAAGTTGGTTACTTATGGCATATTTTCCCGTATTTGTCAGGGGAACCTGCTACTGTATCAATGCCCGAAAATTAGAGATGATGTTCTCTTTATGAAAATAATATCAAGGTATTTTCTGGGTGTAGTCCAGATTGATACATCACACCACATCTTGAAAAAACGTTGTGAGAGAAATTTACGGTTTTCGTGTAGTGGTTGTCGTGCTTGTTCTGGTGCATGTTATTGCCAAAGTACGAACAGCGGAATGATTGACTAGCATAAGGTGGGTTACAAATAGTCAACCCTAAAAGGGTTGTACCCCCTACAAGGTACCTCACTATAGTCTAACACGGAATTGTGAAAGATAGAATGATGAATGATTGCATTGAGCAGCATGAGGAGTACAAGTAGGAAACCCTAAAGTGTTGTACCCCATATTAACTACCTCACTACAGCCTACACAGACTATAGCATATAATTTTGACACACCCCCATAGGCAAAGTGGGGGAGAACAAGAGGTCACAAGACCAGTCAAGAAAAGCAAAGCAAGCTCAGGGTGGATCACGACGTCACCACACATTCTGAGCACAAGCAAATGGCCACAAGGCCAGTTCACATGCAGAGTTATATAAAGGAGAACAAGCAATACAGTGATCACAACCTAGCAAGTGTTAGCATGCAGGTATATGTATAGAGATCACAATACAGGCAAAGTCAAGAAGTAAGCAAGTGAGGCCAAGTGGGCACTAGGCCTAGGACAGTACAGAAACGCTGATGATCACAAGGCTGAAGTGCCTTGGTGAAGATATCAGCAGTGTTGGCCTGAGTGGCCATGTAAGCAAGACGAAGCTGACCACGCTGCTGCAACTCTCGAGCAAGGAAGTAGCGCAGAGCGATGTGCTTCGTTCTGTGCTCCAGTCTGTGCTCCTGACACAAGGCAATCATTGCTTTGTTGTCGACGTACAGAACTGGAGGAGAACGAGGCGGCTCTCCCAGGTCGGTCAGCAGGTAGGTGAGCCAGCGTAACTCCTGTGCAGCCATGGCCCCTGCGTAGATCTCAGCTTCACAGCTGGAGCTGAGAACAGAAGACGAGCGGGTAGACCGCCAAGAAACAGAGCCGGAGCCAAGGCTGAAAGTGTAACCCTGTGACGACCGCTGCATAGCCAAGTCGTCAGCCCAAGAAGCGTCTGCGTGACCAGTGAGGACAACTCGAGCCCGTCCTCCAAGCACGAGCCCCATGCCCGACGTACTGCACAAGTAGCGCAACACCCTCTTAGCGGCATCCATGTGCTCCTTCCGGTGTCTCCCAGGAGCAACATAGCGTGCCAGGATGCTAAGAGGGTATGCCAGGTCAGGTCGAGTGCAGGTCATCAGGTACATGAGGCAGCCCGCAAGCTCTGGATACGGGCCACTCGGCTCTACGGACTCATCCGAAGGCAGAGCTGAGAGCGAGTGACCAGTAGGCAGAGGAGTGGGCTGTGGCGAGGAGTACGTGAAGCGGAAGCGCTGAAGGACCTGCTGCACCATGTGTGACTGAGTCAAGGTAATGGTGCGCTGTGCTCTGTCCCTGGTGATCTGCAAGCCAAGATAGCTGCGCAACTCACCCAGGTCTGTGCACGTGTGTCTCTTCTGCAGCTCCGACTTCACGTGGGCGAGTCCCTCAGTGTCAGCAGTAGCAAAGACCAAGTCGTCGACGTATACTAGGACGTAGAACGGCGGCAGAGAGGTGTCGGTGTGTAGAAACAGCGACGGGTCAGCAGTAGAAGGAGCAAACCCAAGAGCCGCAAGAGTAGTTCTCAGTGTGTCGTGCCACTCACGAGGTGCCTGGCGGAGACCGTAGACTGGCCGTCGGAGGCTCCACTGGGTACCAGCAGGAAACGACCCAGTGAAGCCAGGTGGGCGGCGCAGCCAGATCTCCTCGTGCAGGCTGCCCTGTAGGAAGGCTGTGCTGAAGTCAAGAGAGTGAAGCTCATAGTCACGCTGAGCGGCGACGTTCAGCAGTACCCGAAGAGTGGTCATCTTCGGGGTAGGGGAGAAGGTCTGGAAGAAGTCAACTCCCTCTCGCTGACTGAAGCCTCGTGCAACGTAACGCGCCTTGAAGACAGGCGGAGAACCCGGCGGCCGCTTCACCCTGAAGATCCACATGCCACTGACGATGTTCGCCCCAGGTGGGGGAACATCGTCGACGTAGGTGCCTGTGGACTTCCAGGAAGCCATCTCTGCGTCCATGGCTGTCTGCCACTGAGAGGAGTAGGGACCCTCTATCGCCTCTGCGTAAGAGCGCGGGGTCGGGATGTCTGGTGCATCCGGGTCTCCCTCAGGGGCAAGCAGCATGGACACGAGATGAGGTAAAGCAGCGGCAAAGCACTGAAACTCCTCCTGTCTGTCCTCAAGGACGTCCGTGCCAAGAGCACACTCACCCCCGACGGACGGAGGACAGGCACACTCAGACTCAGCAACAAGACTAGCGGCGTAGTCTAGACGACAGGTGGCAGCAAAGTCAACAAGCTCAGCAACTAGGGCAGACGCAGCAGTGGACTCAAACGAAGGGTCAGTGACAACAGTAGCGAGAAGACGCGTGACAGTAGGACTGACAGCACGAGCAAGGTCTGACGGCGGGTCAGCAAGGTCAGGAAGAGAGGACGTAGGAGGAGACGGCAGAGGGACACGCTGTGGAGCAGTGGACGGACGAAGTGCCATCAGGTGCGTGCCTGGGACAGGAGGAGGACGCGGACGCGGAACACGACGACCAGTGCGAACAGCTCGAACAGGCGACGCAGGACGAGACTCAGGCTCACGACGCTCCGTAAGACCTCTAGTCGGCCCAGAGTAAGGAGAAGGACTAGGCAGTGGAGAGGCTGGCTGTAACTGTGACTGCGACTGGTGAGGCGGTGGACTCAGTAAGGGAGGAGTAGGACCAGTAGAAAGTGGGAGGCCAAGAACCTGCTGAAGGAGCGGAACGTAGTACGGCCGCGACCGCGCAGCGCCTCCAGAAACAGCAGAGACAGCACCAGTACCCCCAGCTCCAGGGTCTCCAGCTCCAACTCCCGCAGTACCACCAGCTCCAGCACCTCCAGCAGCTCCAGCTCCAGCAGCACCTCCAGCAGCACCTCCAGCAGCACCTCCAGCAGCACCAGCTATAGCGCCTCCAGCTCCAACTCCTGCAGTACCACCAGCTCCAGCAACTCCAGTACCTCCAGTACGAGCACCTCCGGCAGCTCCAGCACCAGCAGGACCTCCAGCAGCTCCAGCTCCAGTAGTACCTCCAGCTCCAGCAACTCCAGTACCTCCAATACGAGCACCTCCGGCAGCTCCAGCACCAGCAGGACCTCCAGCAGCTCCAGCTCCAGTAGTAAATCCAGCTCCAGCAGCTCCAGTACCTCCACTACGAGCACCTACGGGACCAGCGGCTCCAGCACCTCCAGCAGCAGCAGCAGCAGCACCACCAGCTCCAGCAGCTCCGGCAGCTCCAGTACCACCAGTACGAGCACCTCCGGGACTAGCAGCTCCAGCACCTCGAGCAGCAGCAGCACCACCAGCTCCAGCAGCTCCAGAAACTCCACTACCTCCAGCACCTCCAGCACGAGCAGCTCCAGGGCCTCCAGCTCCAGCAGCGCCACTCCGTAGGCTACAGCGCCGAGCGTACCACTCGCGCAACTGCTGTGGTGAGAGAGGCTCCCGCCGGCTAGACCGCTGGGGGGAGGCTCCAGTGGGACCTCCTGGACTAGTAACTCCAGCACCTCCAGTACCTCCAGTACCAGCAGTACCACCAGCACCTCCAGGACTAGCAGCTCCAGGGCCTCCAGCTCCAGCAGCGCCACTCCGAAGGCTACAGCGCCGAGCGTACCACTCGCGCAACTGCTGTGGTGAGAGAGGCTCCCGCCGGCTAGACCGCTGGGGCGAGGCACCAGTGGGACCTCCAGGACTAGTAACTCCAGCACCTCCAGTACCTCCAGTAGACTCAGCACCCCCAGTCTCAGCAACCACAGGATCACTACCCTCAGGCTCAGCACCCCCAGGCTCCGCACCCTCAGACTCAGCAACCCCAGGCTCAGCACCCCCAGACTCCACACGCTCAGGCTCAGCACCCCCAGCAGCACCACCCCCAGTAGCAGCACCAGAGTCAACCGCTACCTCGACAGGCTCGACAGCATCTACCTGGGACACACCTGAGGGAGCAGGACACTGAGGGGGGAGGGGGTCTACCGGAGGAGGACCTGATGCAAGGAAAAGCGGCGGGGGGGGAAGCGGTGCAGTGCGATAGGGGAAGAGACGGTAAAAGGGAACCGACTCGTCGAACGTGACGTCCTGAGAGGGCAGGACACGGCGCGAGGTGGGATGGTAAAACTGCCAGCCAGGCGCGTCAGGGACAAAGCCAAGGAAGACGCAGGGAATAGCG